TTTTGCTTTTTTTGTGCAGGTGCTTTGTTTTTTGCTGCCTCGAGCCCTGCCCTGCCCTGCCCCTGCTGTGCCCTGCTGTGCCCACCAAGGTTTGGGTTCGAGATTCCTTTCTGGGAAAGTCGGGGGTTTGAGATTCCTTTCTATGAAGGTCGGAGGTTCGAGATTCCTTTCTGGGAAGGTCGGGGGTTCGAGATTTCATTCCGGGAAGGTCGGGGGTTCGAGATAACTTTCTGGGAATGTCGGAGGCTCGAGATTCCTTTCTGGGACTGTCGGGGGTTCGAGATTCCTGACTCTCGCGGAACAACAAATTTGCAATGAAAAGACATTTTTCACAACATGCTTATTGCTATTGCCACGACCCTGCCATCCGAACCGTCAAACACACCCCTTCTATTTATCATTTGCTTGAGGGTTTAGGGTTTAGGGTTTAGGGCTTATAGAAAGTGTGTAGGGTTTGGGTCCGGAGTTTTGGCGGGTTTTGGCGGGTTTCGGGCGGGTTTCGAGCGGGTTTTGACAGGGTTTTTGCTTTTGCTTTTTTTGTGCAGGTGGCTTTGTTTTTTGCTGCCTCGAGCCCTGCCCTGCCCCTGCTTTCGGGCTCTCGCGGAACAACAAATTTGCAATGAAAAGACAATTTTCACAACATGCTTATTGCTATTGTCATGACCCTGCCATCCGAACCGTCCAACACACACCTTCTATTTATCATTTGCTTGAGGGTTTAGGGTTTAGGGTTTAAGGTTTAGGGTTTAGGGTTTAGGGTTCTTGAGTTTACACTTGGGTTGGGATGCTGTTCGGGAGGACAGGGTTTTGGGGCTTGGAACTACGGTTTTAGGCTTCAATAAATCCTGCATGACGCATAATAAGGGTTATACCATAATTCCCGTAGTTTAGGGCCCTTAAGGTAATGCAGGATTTATATCATCAACAGTAGCTGTCAAGGTTCCTGAGTCGGGGATGCTTTTTTAGAATGTTGAAAGGTCTAAGGTTTTTAGTTCAGTAGAGTCCAGGATTTTTGGAGCTCAGGACTTTTGAGGGCTTGAGGGGTAGCTATAGGATTCGGGGTTCACGGAATCGAGCGAAGGGCTGCTATCCAGATACAAACCCTCAGCTGTGTTTCGTCTTTCTGGTTGCTGCAGTTTGTATCATTACGGAAGACTTCAATTTGCCGCGAATGTCGCTTAGAAGTTAGGGGACTGAATACTCTACTTAAGATGAGGTAAAAGGTATGGGCCTCTCCGAGAATTTGGAATTTCGACTCTGAGCCGCTCCTGCGTCTGCGTGGGGTTCTGGAGGCCCTGCGAATTGCATAACTTGTTCGGCTGGCCGAGAAGCCTATCAAACGGACATACCAGCAAGAAGTTCATCACTGGAACCTCTGCCACGGACCGAAAATACCCCACGTTTCTCTGGGGCCGGTGCTGAGCCAGTCCGCACTCACCAGCTTCGCCTGCTTCTTCGTTTCAGGCTTTGGGCCTTCAGGCTGGCCTTCAGAGTTACGGATTGAAGCTGAGGGTGGAGGGCGAAACTTAGCACAGATTACTCTGAAGCACGACAGCATGAAGGAAGAAAGAAGCATGGCAAACTGGATCACCGTTTCCATGTAACGCCGCCGAGCAACAAGAAGAACATGCTTGGTGGTGTGGCTTTGTTGCGGGCCTACTGCTAGGAGGCGCAGCATCCCCAAAGAACCACACAAAGTATACACTCACCCGTGTTTTGAAAGGACATTTATAATACAGTTGCACATAATCAACTGGCGTACTTTGCACAGGACCTGTAGCATACCTAGACTCTAGATGGTAGCATCTTGGATTAACTAATTTCGATGACACTTTATGCCTAGGATCCTGCAGTGAGCAGTCAAACCATCCACCAGCAGTTTAGAGTCTTATTATGGACCCTGACTCTGAGCCAGAAATCCTGCGCCCTCATACAACGGTTCAAGGAATCAGTAAAGGAACCCGAACATATACCTGTAAAGAAATCCGCAAAAGTACCCTTATGAGGGAGCTGAAAAGGAACCCTAAGTCGACCAAACCTCCACGGGCATCGCAGCACTGGGCGCAGTGGCTGCCACGACATGACTCACGGAAGAAGTCAGCTCCTAGCTGTGTGAAGTCGTCATAGTTTTGGGGCTTAGGCTTTTTATGACTTAGGGTTTAGAGGGGTTTAGAGCTTAAATTATGGTAACTTCGGGTTCAGGGTCTTGAAGGCTTTAGAGTTCGTGGTTTGGGGTTTAAGGTACTAGTGCTAGTGCGGATGCTGATACTAATTTTAGTAGTCGTCATCGTGGTAGTATAGCAAAAGTCAGTACAACCGGGGCAGTGGTGGTAGTAGTAGTAGTAGTAGTAGTAGTAGTAGTAGTAGTGGTAGTGGTAGTGGGAGTAGGAGTAGGAGTAGTAGTAGTAGTCGTCGTCGTCGTCGTAGTAGTCGTAGTCGTAGTAACAGTGGTAGTGGCAGCTGCAGCAGTATCAGCAGCTGTAGAGCAGCAAATGTGAAAGAGTATTAGCTGCAGCACAAGTAGAACATCACACAGAAGGTTGATACCTCTAAGTTAATGACCAACAAGTATACGAATTTTCAATACACCTACCAGCCGCAATGACAATGGCGGGGACACTCACCCCGCACCTTCAACCTGAAAGCAAAAGGCTCCAAGTTCGGTGCCTTGATAATTCGAAAAGGTCTTTAGGCTTTTTGTTGTAATCATAATAAGCAACACTAAGGCCAAGGAATAGGATTACTAAGTATTTAGACCCTGCATCACAGAGGAAGAACTTCCTTGCCACTTACAGTATACAAGTCCACAAGTCCTCGGCAACCACCCCACCGTGATCGCGAACAATGCCTGGCACCACACATGTCGAAACAGGGATTTTTTAGGATGCATGTGCCTCAGCAACTGCATTCAACCGAGCAAGGCTCTGGGAGGGTCAAGATCTGGCAGTACAACCAGGTCACATCAGGGCAGAAAGCACTGCTACCTGCCCCATATGCCGGACACACAGGCCAGCGTTCAATAATCCTGCTTGTCTTGAACAGGAATTGCCTGGCATAAGCCAAGCAACACGAGAAGGTATAGCCGCAGCCCAAACTCTAAGTCGTTCTAGCACAAAACTCCTAAACCCTATACAACCCAATCAAGGAAACCGAACGCCTCGAAGCACATTCAGCCGGACACGGGTCATCCCCCGCCCGGGCAGCAGGTGCACCGTGCAGCCAGCGAACATGGCTTCAAGGATTGCAGGAGTTTGAGAGGCAACGCCTTGTGGTTTTAGGTGTAGCGAGCCTCCCATTGTAACTATTAGGGTTCAGGGTTTGAGATTCTTGCGAGCTTCGGGTTCTATTCGGGGTCTTTTAATCCTTTGAGGAAGGTGCTTTCTGGAGAGTGAGCCTTTATGGGGGTTGAGGTTTGCGGTTCCGGGTCTCAAGGCTTAGGGTGTGTTCCGGGGCCAGTAGACTGTATGCCAGTATGGAGTCGAATCCCGAAAACCTTTGGGGTTTGTTGGGGCCTGAACTGAGGATGACACGCCCAGATCTGACCAGGACCCATTGTTTTCATTGTCCACGTGGAGCCGGGCACTGTACTCGTTGTTCAACTGTACGGTCGAACAGTTGAAGCTGTGGGTCCCGCTGCACATGTGTGAGTCCGTCTACAAAAATGTCCACGATTTATTTAAGGTTTAGGGGTTTAGAGTAGCAAAGCTATGAAGCCAACATTGTTTACTTCTATTGAAGTTTTCATGGCCATCACACCCTTTGGGCCCCAAAGGGGCTACCGAGGCAATGTTGAATGTGCCAACCGACATTCCCCAAAAAAGAGGCTCCTTCGTTCTTCAGTGCCTTAGGGTCCAGGTAAGGCTTGCACCTCCCGTGTCCTCAGTGTCCCTGAGCTTTGTGATCTTAGTGTACGTGGGCTAGGGGCAGGCCAGGCTTGTGGGCCTTAGGGTTTAGGGTTTCGGGGCTTTCGGCCGTTAGGGTTTTGGTGTTTAAGGTATTGTGGTAGCCTTCTATGAAGCCCTCGTAAAGCGGCCAAAACCCTTACCATCAGCCTGCGTGACACAATGCCTGCGAACAGCCCTTTCCACAGCCGTCGAGTATAGGAAAATATCTTAAACCATCGAGGCTTTTCATACTAGGAAGTCACGGCAGTTTCCATCAGGTACAGGGTGTAAAAACGTCCTCAGAAAACCACTGGTTGGATGCAGTAAAACCGACTTAAATCCAACAGCACACGAAACGACCCTGTAAGACCCTATTCTACTATTTTACTGCCCTACCCCCCCCATCGATTTTGTCACTCAGTGGTATCGGGCTCTTCCAATAGTTTGCTGTGGGGCATGCACCTCGTCCTTGAGCTTTTTCAAACGCTTGTTTTCGTTGTTCCCCAGCTTGCCTTCTTCAATGACTTCAAAATCCAGGGTCGCCGCTGCGAGGTAGATGATCTGGGCCAGGGTGTCTTGACCCACCTCGAGGACGAGAGCAGGAAACCTGTGGCGTGGAACCAAGATCGACAAATCCTCGTGCTTGCAGATCAACTAACCCTAAACCCTAAACCCTAGCCACAGGGAAACTCTCCGGGGCTTTTGCGATGAGCTGTGTGACTTGAAGATAAGTCAGCATGGGGTCCAAGGCCTGCTCGGCCACCCAAGCAATGGTTTAGGGTTTAGGGTTGGCTTACAGCTACAATTAGAACCCTTCTGGAAACAACTTACTCTTTTCGCCAAGCCTCATAATCCCTCGATAGAACCCTGCTTCGAAATTATACCGACCCTAACAGCCAACATCCCTATAACAAAAAACAGCAACCTGGAATAAAACCATAGAGCCCAAGAACCACCCAAAAAAAGAACCACAACGAACACCCCAAAACCCTAACTAAACCCTTAACCCTAATCCCAAATCCCTAAACCCCAAACCCTAATCCCTAAACCCTAATCCCTAAACCCTAGTTAATCCCTTTAAGATGAACAGTTCCGGCTCCCGGCTGAGACACGCGCCGATTCCGATTGCTCCGTCTCCCGCGGCCTCGCGTCGGTCGCAGAGGGCTCCGGGGGAGCGACCTGGGTTTAGAGTACTTAAAGGATCATGGGACTTAGTAACTAGGGTTCCTTAAAGGGCTCCTTTTAAGGGATCTATAAGGGCTCTGTTATAAGAGGGGTTTTAGGATCTACTTAAAGGGTCATGGGACTTGATAACTAGGGTTATTAGGGTAACTATACCTATAACCCCAATCAGGGTACTCATAACCTTACTTACTAAGCCCCATGATCCTGCAAGTAGAAGCTCCAAAAGTTGGAAACCCAATAGCCGCAATCCTGAAGAGTCATGTATAGGGAATCCCAGCAGTAGTTGTCTTTAATCCGGTTTCCAACTTGTTAAGGCTTACTATAGGGTTCAGGCGTTTGGGGTTTCGGGTCTAGGGTTTAAGGCCCAAGACCCCGACAGCCGAAACCCTAAGCCCTTAGTTGAGGGTGTGGGGCTTAGCTGGTGAGGATGTCGGGCTTCGGGGTACGGATTTTGTAGGGTTGTATACGATCGAAAATGTGATCTTAGTTATCCCGGGTAAGATTCTCAAATCTCATGGAGCTTTGTGTGAGGGCCGTAGTGAACGGGGATAGGGCGCCGGTTTCTTTCTCATTTATGTCAAGCACTTGGTTCTTCGATGCTCTCAGTGTAGATATCGACCGACCAAAGGGTGTATTTAGGGTTTAGGGTTTAGGACCCTAAACCCTAAACCCTAAACCCTTGTAGGGCTGAGTTCATGCAAGGGCTTCGGGCTCGGGCCTGAAGTTCGGGGATGAGGGCTTGGCGATGAAGACCGGGCCTAAGGCTCTCGGCTTAAGGTTCCGGTATCACTGCCAGAAATACTGCAGCTTCCCTCACAAAATTTCCTGGGGTTAGGACCGGTCTCTGACCTCATACTAAGGGTCTAAACCTGGAAGCCCCGGTACATTTCCACTAGGCTGGTGATTCAAGGACAGCAACCAACTAACGGCTCGGTGTGGCATTGAGGCTGAGGGCACTGGCAGGAATTTTGCAGGCGGGCTTGTGCTTCTAAGAAGGCTCGGCTTTAGGACTACATGGCGCGTGTGCCTCAATCGGAGTCTAAGGGTTTACGGCTTGAGGCAGAAGGATTACAGGAACTCATGTCCTAGAGGCAAACTGCATAGTAAGTATAAGGAATGCCCGCCAGAATCCTCGCTGGTTCCAATCTTTTCTTTTCTTATGGGGGAGGGTTTAGGGCCGCAGGCTTTTGGGTTTTTGCGCGTTCAGCGCCTAAGGGTTGGAGATTTAGACCTTGTGACCTCAAGGCTGCGTGGGGCTGAGGAAGAAGAACCCTAAGGCTCCATGTACCCATATAGAGATACTTTGGCCCCAATGTACCTATGTAGGGACTACTTTAAGGCCAATGTATATACTATTTAGGTACCTGGACCCTTAGGGGAAGTAGGCAAAACAACAAAGGTGAGACGGCCTAGGGATCCAAAAGATCTCTGGAGTCTTATACATCCAATCTCAGAATACTTCTTTGCCGAAGCAAGTCTGAACTCAATTGCAAAACCATCGTTCAAACTACTGCAACATGCTGGAAACCCAGAATAATATAGGGGCCTTACAATAGAATAGGGTTTTGGGGCCCATTATACTAAAACTATAACAAGGATACTCCACAATGGTACAAGTATAGGTAATTGATCAGGCCCCTATACTAGACACCCTGGAAAACCCTAAACCCTAAAACCCTAAACCCCTAAATCTTATAAACCCTACAAACTTCCGGGCCGCCTCCGCTGCTGGCGCCACAGCTGCTGCTGGCTCGGCCGTCGTACGCGAGGAGGGGCGCACGGCTGTGCCGGAGGGAGGACGGACCTGCCACTGAATTTGGGCTCTACCTGAACCTACCAAAACCTTCTTTTTGTAGGGTCCCTATAAATTCCATAGTAGGGTTTGTAATAAGAACCTACATAAAAGTAGGGTTTGGTAGTTTAAGTTAGGGTTTATTAGAGCTTCTTGGGTTGGGTCAACTCCGATTGGAAGAGCCCGGAATGATTCAAGAACACCTTTGTCCTCTTGGGGTTACTCCTAAGGTATCGGGGCAGATGATGGGGAATACAAGTGTATGCTAACATCGGGAATATGGGTTTTGAGGCCCTAAACCCCTCGACACACCCTAAATCCCAATTAAACCCTAAATCCACCCTAAACCCTAAATCCAAAACCCTAAACCCTAATTAAACCCTAAATCCTAAACTCCGAACCCCTCCTTTTGCAAGGGGTCACTCCAGGCCTGGGCTCTGGAGGATCTTCGTCGCCGTGGCGACTCCCCGCCGGCTCCGGTCGCCTGGACATCGCAGAGAACATGCTGCTTCCTTTTTTGGGTATTGCGAGGACCTTAATAATGACTTTTAAAGGGGTCTATATACGGGTTACTATAAGGGATTTAAGGGATCCATTACTGGGGTATATCATGTAGGGGCCTTAATAATTAGAAGAGGGTTTTGGGGAATATTACACTATAGCTATAATAAGGAACCCCCAAAATAGTGTGGGTAAGTATCTAGGCCCCTATAGTACATTCTTCTTTCTCTTCCGCGGCTTGGATCGTTTACTATGGATACCAACTTCTTGGCGTTTTGTTTCGCCCGCAGGGGTTTGCATCTTTTACTAGGTTGTGGCGCTTTGTTGTTTCTGGGGCTCGTGTGTGCGTGGGTGTTCTTATGGGAGTCGTAGGACATAGGATACTTTTATACAGACTTCAAACACTACACCCTAAACCTAGGATTTCAGTATATAGACCTCAAAAACATTACACTCCAACCTCCCATGACTCGTAGCCTGTTGGTGATAATCTATAAAGTCTCTGGGCCTTCTTATCTTTTTCAGGTTTGATTGTGTAGGGTTGAAGGAGTTAAAGGGCTTGGGGTTCAAAGTTAGTAAACGGGGTATTGAGTAGGACAGGGATTGTAGTGCCAGGTCAGTCGCTGACGCCTCCGCTCGCTTCTCTGCAGCCGCGGCGGGTGCTGCCTGTGCCTCACTTTCGCATTCTTGCAGGTCAAATCCCCGGGTCAAACCTTTTGGGTTGAAGGTGAAGGTGGTAATTAAGTCAATTATAGCTATAAGTTTATCAGGTTTGGGGCTTATAGTGCATTTACTGCTCATATATGGGGGGGTCAGGGCTCAGGGCTTAAAGGGTTTTGCCTTAGGGCTCACGGAACCTGATCACCCGAATCGTAGGCCGCTGAAACTCTATGAGAGCTCCCACGAAGATCCGATCCTGCTCGCACCCTACAAACCCTAAAACCCGAGAACCCTAAAACCCTAAACCCACAAGCCCTGAGCCCTAAAACCCTGATTCCTAAACCCGGTTTGCTTTCTGCCCCAACCTTCGTCGCTGCAAGCCGTTTAAGCCCTATAAATCCTGCGAATCGAATTTCGGGGTATACCATCGTGTACTTGGAAGGGACATACCATGGGATATCGGTAACAGGTATTCAGAGACCAGTATTATCGGATCTTCGAACACCGTTGCAAAGAGATTCCTGCATGCTGGGTAAATGTTACGAAACGTCAAGCACAGGCAGCCGATACAAGGAACACAACCTAAACATGGCATATATGTCATTTGCTCCAGCACGCCTTAGCCACTTACTGAAGTAAACCCTGCATCAGCCACATTCTGCACTCTTGACTCTTGACAAGCCAGAACCTCCATAGCAAATCATGTCTAAGTCGGCTCATCAGCTCAAGCCCTATGACCTAGTCTCCTCGTAGATCCGGTAAAGAAGACCCTGAAAAGGACCTTTCAAGGGAACCACAAAACCCTGTACCCACAAACCCTATCAAACCCTGAAACCTGGCCCTGAACAACAGGACCCTGAAAAGGAACCCGAAAGAGAGCTCTAAACCCAAAGCCCTGGCCCCTATCAAGGCGACCCTGAAAAGGAGCCTGAATGGGAGCCCTAAACCCTAAATTTCAACCGGAAGCCTAAAGCCCTAAGTCGTCAGCCGTGAACCCTAGAATCCCTAGAAGCCCGAAACCCTGGCCTTTGTGAAGGGAAGCCCGCAAAGGAACTTTAAATTGAAGGAAACCCCAAACCGCAAACCCTAAACCCCTGCAAGCCGTAAAATCCTAAACCTTAAACCCTCAACCCCAAACCCTATAAGCCCTAAACCGTTAAAGGGAATCCGAAACCCAAAACCCTAAACCCTCAAAGGGAATCCGAGACCCTAGCCCCTAAACCCTCAACCCTAAAGCCTATAAGCCCTTAAACTCTCTTCTTCAACAACTGGGCCCTAACAAATTCAAGCTTTCTAAGATACAGCTAATATACAAGGCCAAAAATTTTGAAGTTCCCCCGCTCGCTACCTAAGTAAAGGGACTCCGAACGCTAAACCCTAAACCCTATAAGCCCTTAAAGGGACTCCGAACGCTCCACCCAGCGCCTTGGCGGAAGTTGCCTTGGCTGCGGGTTTGGCAGTCGCAGGCGCCGGCGGAAGCTCGGGCTCGGCGCCCTCCTGATTCGCTTCAAGATGGACATATATCTATCTATCTATATACATGATTGATTATCTTTTTGTTTGTTCATATATATATATATACAGATGTATATGGATGTACGTATGTATGTATGTATGTATGTATGTTTTCTCGATTGCTGTTTAGGAAACCATATACACGCACAGAAACAGGTACTTTAGGACAAAGGTATATACTACGTGGGTATGTGGCCCTTAATGAAGGCAGATTAAGAAACTCCTTTGGCCTTATCGGGTTGTATTTGGGATGCTAATGTTAGTTAGCCAGCACCCCCCAAGTACCCTTTCAAGGGCTCTGACATTTCTCATTAAGAGGTAGTTGGGGGCTACAACAAAGGGTAGTTGGGGGGTCTAGGAGAGCCTTTGGACCTGTGATTAGTAAACCCCTCTCCCTCAAAATGGTTACACTAGGATCATAATCATATCCGGGCCGTCAATGAAAGGGGGTCGACCTTTAATCGGATTCTACTAAGGATCGTAATACTCGGGCCTTTTGAGCTTCAAGACATGACTATCAAGTGTGAGAACTTGTGTGGTATACGGGATCAGTTAAAGGTTCCTGTAAGGGTTCCTTCAAGGGTTCCTATAATGGGCTCTTGCAAGTGTTCCTGGTGTAAAGTGTATAGCTTCTGGGGTTTCAGGCTTTGTGTGTTCTGGCTTGGTGTGTTGATGTGTTTGCAGCCTTGCTGTTGGCGTGTTCGGGTTTACGGGTTGAGGAACTTCTTGTCACAATTCAGGGCACTAGTATTTATGATGTTTATGATTATGTCTACAAGTTCTATATCAGCCTGCTTCAAAACAGTATGGGCTTCTCTTTCTCTCTCTCTCTCTCTCTCTCTCTGTCTGTCTCTCTTTATATTTATATATATATATATACATATAGATATATAAATAAATATATATATATATATATATACATAGACTTAGACACACAAACACGCACGCACACACACACACACACACACACACACACACACACACACACACACACACACACACACACACACACACACACACACACACACACACACACACACACACACACACACACACACACACGGACACACGGACACACGGACACACGGACACACGGACACACGGACACACGGACACACGGACACACGGACACACGGACACACGGACACACGGACACACGGACACAGACAAACAACACAGCAGCCAACCAACCAAATAACCAGACAAACACATAGGAACACGTACATGGTACACACAGTGTTCATGGGTAGCTCGGATCTAAAACCATGTAAAGTGTAGGGTCCAACTTTTAGGATACAACTGATTGGCCGGGCAGTCTTGACGGCTCGAATCTCGTGCATGAACGAGCCTCAGCACACCATTCGAGGCTTCTCTCACTCCAAAACCCGACTCAACAAAACAACTATATGAGCCCCAAGCCCACAAGACACAACAACGAACCCTTACTACTTCGGTTGATGATATAAATCCTGCATTACCTTAAGGGCCCTAAACTATGGGAATTATGGTATATTCCTTATTACGGGTCATGCAGGATTTATATCATCAACCGTTCCAAAAGCCCAAAGCTCTCGACCCTCAGCCGCCCAGTCCTGGGAACCCTCCTGGCCCGCCAGGAAGGAGCGTCGTAGCGCCTTCATGTCCAAGGAGTACTTCTCCTTGAGTTCCTTTGCCTGGGGCTCAAGCATGTCTTAAGGAGCTGATTGAATCTATAGGGTTGAAAATATTGTATGGTTGAGAGTTGAGAGGTTAAGGTTCAGTGCGACGAATTGATTGCAGCTTTACAGGCTGAGGGCTCTGGGCTTGGGCGTGGATTTCGGGGCCTGGGGAGAAGAGGAACCCCCTCCCCGAGGCTCCCCGAACCCTGAACCCGAAGTTGCAGGACACAGGCAGCATAAAGAGGGAGGCACATAGCACGCGCCCGCATGATCTCAGGTACTGTACCAAACACTGAAAGCGAAGCCTCTGAGGCTGTAGGGAAGTAGGGCTCTCGGTTTGAACGTTCGAGCGCAACTCTCCCAACCTTACTTGGAGGATCATGCGTTTTAGTTTAAGTAAGGTTATAAGTACCATAATTGGGGTTATAAGTATACTTACCCTAATAATCACTCTACTTACTAAGTCCCATGATCCTTTAAGCAACTCCCAGCTTTCGTGTCCCGCCTTCTCGACGCTCTTGAAGAAAAGGGCTTTGTGGACGTCTAAGGCTGCGACGGCCTCACAGGTTTACGGTTTGGAGTTTAAGGTGATTTAGCAGTTAGGGCTTAAGGGGTCTAAGGTTTCGGGTTTGGGGGTTTAAGGGGTAGGGTTCGGGATTTGGGATGTGAATTCCCAAGTAAGCCCCTCTCAATCTAAGAGGTTTAGAGTTTAGGATTCAGGGTTGTGTTGGTTTCTGGTGCTGGGATTCATCTGGCTCGAGGCTCCACTTATTCAGGGGTTTTGGGGCTTAGAGTCCAGCCTTTCTGTTTCAATACTACTACTACTTCTACTACTACTCCTACTCCTACTCCTACTCCTACTCCTACTCCTACTCCTACCCCTACTCCTACTCCTACCACTACCACTACCACTACCACTACCACTACCACTACTACTACTACTACTACTACTACTACTACTACTACTACTACTACTACTACTACTACTACGACTACTACTACCATGCCACGATGGTTCCTGAGAGAGCTGCTCTTTCTTCTTCCAACTCCTCAGTCTTGAGAAAGAACCAGCAATAAAGGAACATACCTTTAGTCTCCATTGTAGTTCCTTTTTGGGGTTACCTTTTAGGGTCCTTTATATAAAATTGGTTAGACCAAAAACAGGAACTACAACGGAGATTATAGGTAGTTTGCTGGTTACTGGGTAATCCCTCCATGTACTCCTCAGCCTTGGCGACTGCGGGTCCGTGTTCAGAGCACAATGCAACACTGACCGAAACCCTAAACCCGAAACCCCTAAACCCCTAAACCCCTAAACCCTAAAACCCTAAACCCCTAAACCCCTAAACCCCTAAAACCCCTAAACCCTAAACCCTAACCCCTAACCCCTAAACCCCTAAACCCTAACCCCTACCCCTAAACCCTAACCCCTAACCCTAAACCCTAACCCCTAAACCCCAAACCCCTAAACCCTAAACCCCTAAATAACCCCTAAACCCCTAAACCCCTAAACCCCTAAACCCCTAAACCCCTAAACCCCCCCCTAAACCCCTAACCCTAAACCCTAAACCCTAAACCCCTAAACCCCTAAACCCCTAACCCCTAAACCCCTAAACCCTAAACCCCTAAACCCCTAAACCCTAAACCCCTAAACCCCTAAAACCCTAAACCCCTAAACCCCTAAACCCCTAAACCCCTAAACCCCTAAACCCCTAAACCCCTAAACCCCTAAACCCCTGACTGTGGGTCTGGGAGTTTATAAACACTCGGGATAACCCCCAGAGGGCCCCAGCTACTTAAATAGCAGGTTACTAGCCATATCATAGCCCAATAGCCCATTACTTAGGGAACTGGAGCCCAAGGGAACAGCAAGAAACAGCTCAACCTTCTCAAAGAAGCATCCTTCTTAAGCCAGAAAACTTGAAGCTTATTGTCGCCCAAAGCGGCCCAACCACTAGCCCGTCCCTAAGACTCCAAATAGTCCAAGTAGGTAGTATTTATAGACTTTAGACCCCAAAGTAGGTACTATTTGTATACTTGGAGTCTTAGGGCGTACCCTTGGGGTGGATGGGTGCCGGAAACATGAAGAAAGGCTGCCCTCCTTGTGCTCTGTGGAGGTGAAGTGATGATGCATACATGGCGGCTGAGCTGCCACGTTCAAACCCTAAACCGTAAGCCCTAAACCCTAAGCCCTTAGCCCTAAACCCTAAGCCCTAAACCGCACGAAGTCCCAAAAAAAACAACGCCCCACGACTGTTCAGACCTCGAGCTCTGCCAAAACCTTCGACGGCTAAGCTACCCTAAGGCCCTAAAGTAGTTCCTTTTGGGGGTTCATATTTAGAATCCTATTAGGTAATCCCAAAATGGAACTACTTTGGGGCCTTCATGAATGCCATACTGCCCAGAGTACTGAATGCTAATGGGCCTGAACAGGGGCTTCCGTCAACTCCAAACAACGGGATCCCGATCTCCCTCACACTTCACCCCACGATGGCGGACAAGCCTGCTTGGCAGCAGGCACCTGACATGTGCACAAGTCAAGCCTAAATCGACTGACATGGTCCATGTCTTCTCTGTTTGACTTTTGCATTCTGCTTCAATGATTCGGGAACGTGGAGTGTATGATTCAGTATGATATATCTAATTCTAGATCGGCAGGAGGCACTCTGAATGATGCGACTTTCGCGACTCAAACTACTACAAAGATACGTACTGTCGTCGATGACCAGCCCTACCAGCAAAGATGCCTCTGACTACCATCAACTAGCACCAGATGTCTAGCAAGCGCCCCCCCCCATCCCCGACACCTCTGCAAACCCCAACAAACTTCGTAATCCTTGAGATCCGACAGTAAACTCTGAACCCGACTGTCTACACCCTAATTTAACCCTGAGGCCTACCCTAAGGCCCTCAAGCAGTTCCTTTTTGGGGTTCATATCTAGAACCCTATGAGGTAATCCCAAAAAGGAACTACTTTGGGGCCTATGGGTAAAGCTTAAGTAAGCTGGCGGCCCGAGGCCACACCCTTTCCCCGAAAGCCCAAGGCCCACGCCTTTGAGACCAGTTTAGGGTTTCCGGCTTAGGGTGCTCTGGTATCTAGCTTCAGCCTTACCTAACCCCCCCCCAAACTAGGTAAAATAATGGCCCAATACCCATAAAAAGGCTACTATTCTACATACTTTTGGGGTCCAGGTACGGCTAGTCCATCGGAACTCCGACTAACAAAACATATCGTTGAGAAGTAAGTGCATACTTGGACCCTGCGGAGTTCAAACCCACAGACATTGAAACCATAAACCAAGCCGGAAACATTACCTGAATGAAGCAATCCAACCCCAAACCGCCAAACTCCCATAAAGTGGAACCCATGAACCCTAGACCCCTAGTGCCTAACTTGGCCACCAAACTCTAAAAGTCCCGAAGCCGAAGTGCGATCTTCAGACTCTATCCATCTCACTCCTATGGGCACCCTAAACCTTGGGCCCTGCACCCTAATCCCGAAAACCTCAACCCCGAAAGCCCACCTGCTCCTCCAAAGCTGAAATCATCTTCGAGGGCGGCGGCACGTCACCCGAAAGGAGGCGTCGACCTAAACTCTACAACTACCGGCAACTCTCAAATATCACTCACGAGGCTTTTAAGTTTCTATTCTCTGTGTAGACATACACAAGTGCATACATGCATACGAATGAATACAACGAACATACCTGCGTACATGAAGACAGGCAGACAGAAAGACGGACGGACAGACGGACGGACGAATCTGCTCGTGGTCTCTGGGTGGTCTCCTAGTGGCCGTGGTCGTCCTTAGTCGTCGTACATAGTGGTCGTCATGGTTCCGATAGTCGTGATTGTCTTAGCCGTCGCGGTCTGGTGCTCTATCACTGTTTGAGGATCACTGGCATAACATGGTTAAATGTTAAAACTGCGTAGGTACAGGTCTACGCTAGGAGGATATTTATAAAGCTTCAAAATATTCAGACCTTTGTCTTAGGCATCTTGGATCGTAAAGTTGTGTGACCCTTAAGGGAGGGGGGGAACGAAGCCTCGCCGCATCATTGAACGTAGCAACGTCAATGACGGGAATCTTGAAATGACGGTTTAGGGTTGAAGGGAACTACGATTTAGAGTCGAATCAGCCCGCCAACCCCCGCACACCATCCCCTACACCCCCATCCCCATTCACTAAACCCCGAATCCGAAACTCTAGACCCTCAACCACAGCGAGCTAAAAGCCTGTAACTGCCCATGCTTATAGTCTTCCGTCGAGCCACGAAGTTCAGCTGGTGATGCCCTGCCAGGATCCCAAAGTTTGAAAAGAAATATATGGAAGATGGTAGGAGCCAAGGAAGCTGGTGTTAGACTCACAGCACTGCTGATGCAGCAGTGCCTTCAGCAAACTTACGTATCCGAATGATGCTTAATGCTGGCCAGGGCCGGTATATTGATGAACACAGCAAGGAAGACGACCACGACGCCTACGGACACGACGAAGACTACCACCGCCACTGATACTACCTCAACTGTTGTGGTTAACAACAGTAGTAGCAGTCATCGAAACATCGAACCAGCAAGCCTTAGCCTGACTGGCATGGGCGCCGACACAAAAGGCATTCATCATACTTGGCAGGAAATGTGTTGAATGTATTAGCCGGACAAAGAAAAGAGCTGTCTGCAGGACTGCAGACCTTTAGCTCCTTGCTTGGGAACGGCTTAGAGGGTTTGAGGTGTGGCGCCAGGGTATAGGCCTCGCCCTGCACCCGGAACTCTCGTAACAAGTTAGACCCCTCTTTTTGCCGACCACAACCTGAAACCCAATGCAATTTGCAAGCTTACTTCATTACAATATGCAGGGGTTTTGGCGTTGTGTCAGAGGCTCAGTATCCAGCACAATGATTACGATTTATTTAACGAGTATCCCAGATGATGTCAACTCAGCTCACACATGCAATCTAGTGCAAGCAGGCAGGACCACATACTGGTTGATACGTAGCAGCATGCCAAAATGACTATAGCAGCGTCGCGCAAAAGTTCAATGCTGCCCTGCGAAATACTTCCCACAACGCTAAGCGGTCAACCATTAAAAAAAAAAAAACACGGCACCAATCTCTGAAGCCCCAAACCCAAGCCCTGAAGGGCACCTTCCGTTCTTGTTGGCTTCGGCGCCTCAAGCGATGTAGTTTGATTGGGCTTTTCAGGCCCTGAAAGAACTAGGGGTTAAGTTTCTGATGGGTAGAGGCTTTCGAAGTCTGTACATGTCGTTGAAGTAGCACTTTCAGCACCTCAGAATCTCCGAGCCCGAAGGCCGCCTTGGCATATCTGAAACTCTGAGAAAAAACGCACTGCATCAGACATCAGAAGCCTGCAGACACTAGACCCCGAACCCCCCAAGCAAAAACGTACAACCCTAAACCCAAACCAAAGACCGGAAACCCCCAGGTTCAAAAACTTGCAACCTCGAGCCCAAGCACCTGAGCACCCCAAACCTGAGCATGCCAAAGTCTCGTAGCCTGCGAGGTTTAGGCTTTAAGACTAAAGGTCTAGGGGCTAGTAGTTTAGGTTGTAACTTATGGCTTAGAGGTTGGACTTTTGGGTTTAGGGCTGTTTAAGGCCTAGGGCTCCCCCAAACTCTAACAGGATGGTCTCTTTGCGGAAACTAGACGAGCCCTGGTCCCAAGACTCCTAGCCCCTTGAAGGAAGATTCGTCGAAATGTCGGTTGTTTGGAACCCTAAACCCTTCTGTCTCACCGGCAACCTAACCCGAAATCCCAAAGCCTAAACCTTAAGGCCCAAAGTCTTTAATCTTCGGGTCTGCAAAAATGAATAATACTATTCCAAAGGTTCTTTAGGAACAGCCATAGTGGAAGCCCCAAGACCATGTTCGAATCTTTATGGCCAATATATTATAGAACTCTCATACTCTTATAGATCACATTGTAGTCTTGCAGACCCTGTACAAGTCTTCCAGACCCGTTTATAATCTTAAAACCCCTTCCTTTCGTGATTCAGGCCCCCGCATGACAAACCCGAAACACTAAACATTGAATCCTACCTGGATCCTACGAGTATATAGAACAAAAATCGTTTATGAGCCTTGGCCCACTACCTTACCTATTTTGGGGGCATAGGTAAACCCTAAACCTTAAACCCCTAAATAACCCGACACCCTAACCCCTATTCCTTAAACCCTGAACCCCAAGCCCTATACTTTGAACCCTGACTGAGGTCTTCGGACAAGAGGCGCGGATCCGCGACCAGCGAGTTCCTTCCCCGAAGGCTTTCTTAGGGTCAAAGGCCGGATGGCGGAAGGATCCAATCGTTGGGTACTTGGGTTTGGGATCGTAGCAACGTTCCGGTCTGACGGTCTGGTTATCTAGACTACTTTCTCTGGGGGTATGGTCTCTGTAGCTGCTGGACGAATGTCGCGCAAAAGCGTTGAAACGTCTGAGAAGCATGAGACGTGTAGGTGAAACTGTCACATGAGAACTCACAAGATACTTATGCTGTTTGTAACCCGACCTTATAGCTACCCATGAAGCTCCAAGTAGGGCTTAGGAAAAAGGCCCGTGGGTGTACGGCCAAGGTTCAAAGATTTAATCGGGTTTAGAGTCAGGGCCTGGGACTGACAAGCGAGGGTGCAAAGGTCAGAGGGGTCAGAACCAGTGGTTCAGAGGTTTACAAGATTCCTGTGGCTTATGAACGGATAGGGTTTGGGGGTTTTGGATTTAACGACGCTTTAAAACTTGTGACCTTCAAAGTTTGGCAGCCTTCTCTACAAGCTGGTGCCTGTTAGAGCCGAGGCTGTTGAATCGACATGTGGGTAGTTGTCAAGATTAGGGTCCCTTTTGGGGTACTCTTAATATTAGATGCCACATAAAATTAAAAGGACCCAGAAAGGAAGGTAATTTTGCCAGCCACCCACGTCGGGTTTCCAATGTTGCGAGGCAGCGATAGTCGCAAAGTTCTGCTCTGCTCCTTCCAAGCAAAAGCCCTCAAACGCCCGCAAACCTACAACAACATCTACTGAAAGGATCATGGGACTTAGTAACTTGGGTTTCTGTTTAGGTATTTAGACTTATAACTATATATAACCCCAATTAGGGTACTTTTATCCTGACTTACTAAGTCCCATGATCCCCCAAGTAGCAACTGCTGTGTCAAACCCGGAGGTAATGCAACATGTGGTGTACACGAAGCTTGCCCGAGTTATTGAGCTTTGCTCAGACATCCGACCCTGAGCCCCAAATTCTTCGCCCTCCATTAAGGAAGGGCCAACACACACACACACACACACACACACACACATATATATATATATATATATATATATCACGTGGGTACCCATAGGGAGTGAATAAGCCCTGATGTGGAGGTCGGAACAGCTAGTAACTATGCCTTCTTTGTGTGAGGCCTTCTATGGGGTTTTGAGATCTGTATGAATTTTAGACTGATTAGTTATCATGTGAAACTTATCCCTTTACCGCCCTCATATAAGTATACGACTACACACGCACACACGCACACACTGACACCCCTATTCAAACCATGAAGGCCTCTGTACGAAATCCTTATAGTAGCCCTTTTGAATTCCCTTCTCGCCCCCTTTAAGAAGGAACCCTTTTCTAATGATTAAGGCCCCTATATCATATACCCCAGTTATAGATTCTACTTTTAACCCTTATTTTAAAGAAGGAAGCCTATTCGAATGATTAAGGCCCCTATCCTACTTCATCTGCTCCCCCTCCCGTGACCTTCTCGACCCAGCATCCGGTCCGCCTAGGTTGCACGGGGTCTTTTGTCGTTTATTTCTGGTTAGGGTTTAGGGCTTAGGACTTAGGGTTTTGGGTTTAGGGTTTAGGGCTTAGGGCTTACGGTTCTGGGTTTAGGGCTTAGGTTCAGGCTCAGATTAGATGATGATTGTGGGTGAAATATTCTTGTGCACCTGCAGACCTTATTGATGGATATACAGGGTATAGTTATCGTATCATCATGCAAGAATGTACAAGGGCCTAAGGGGCATGATTCCAGCCCTAATAAATTTGTTGCAAGTGCGACATCGACCCTGAATTGCAGTACCTTTCTCGGGACTACTGTAAGGAGGTTAACACGGGTGCTATACGATCATCATAAGATTTGTGGTTAGGGTCAGGCTCTTATATAGCAAGCAACCAAGACGAGCTAGAGTTGAGGGTCTGGGCTGACTGGCAGTTAAAAATCTTAACGTCCAGAATTCTGAATCGTCTGGAACTCGGAGTGAACCCTTTGTCATTGGGTCTCGGGGTACCTTGCTTAACGGTGGACAAGGAAAGAAGACAACAAACAGCATGTCTGACCTATCGCGAGCTTGAAGGAAACGGACTTCAAGCCAGCAGCACCAGCCAGCAGGTAATGATGGGCAAAGCAAGGCAAGGAATGCAAGACGTCAATAACAGTAAACAAAATATTAGAACCCACAAACTCTTAAACCCTAAACCCCGAAGATCCTTCCTACTTCTTCAGGCTTTACAAACCCCGAAGATGCTGAAGAGAGGCCATCGCCACCGGGCTGCTGTAGCATCAGGGCCTCTGTCTTTCCCCATGAGACTTTCAAGAGGTGAAAAGTCCTTGAGGGGATACAGGGCTTAGAGCTCATAACCAGTGGGTTTCGGGCATAGGATACGTAGGTTTAGACTTTAGAGCTGCGACGGCGACGGCTGCGACGGCGACCACGACGGCGGCTACTCCTCCTGCTGGTGCCGCTACTGCTGTGCTGCAACTTACTACTTCTGCTGCTACTTCTGCCACTACTATGTACTACTATATACTTCTGCTACTACAACTACTACTACTACTACTAGTATTATTATTATTACTACTACTACTACGACTACGACTACCACTACCACTACCACTACCACTACCACTACCACTACCACCACTACTACTACTACTACTACTACTACTACTACTACTACTACTACTACTACTACTACCACTACTACTACCACTACTACTACTACTACTACTACTACTACTACTACTACTACTACTACTCCTACTACTACTACTACTACTACTACTCCTACTACTACTACTACTGCTGCTGCTACTACTACTACTACCACAACAACTACTACTACTACTACTACTACTACTACTACTACTTCTACTTCTACTACTACTACTACTACTACTACTTCTACTACTACTACTACTACTACTACTACTACTACTACTACTACTACTACTACTACTACTACTACTTCCACTACCACAACCTCTAGGACTACCGCTACCGCTACCACTACAGCGGCAACTGTTCTAAGTAATACGACAAGATGTGTTAGTCATGCTGCAACAAAGATGCGGGTTACGGCAGTATTGTTTGTCCTGAGTGCGCTCTGGCCTTACCTTTGGTCACTAGGGAATGGAAGAATGGTAGTAATGTTAAACTTGTACCCCATTCCTCCACTCCCTACTAACCAAAGGTAAGTGTCTCGATGCAAAATTGCACAAATGAGTCTGAACCGATCTCGTCAACCCTTGAAGATCCGACCCTTAACACGTATCGCAAGGGTTTGGGCGGTTTGGGGGCTAAACCCTCAACCCTAAGTCCTAAACCCGAAGCCCTAAACCCTAACCCCTAAGCCCTAAACCCTAAGGGCTTCCCGCAATGACACAAATTCTTGATCTCCTGGGTACGGAAACACTTGCTGCAGGAAACCTCGAAACCTCTTGACTGATTCTCAACTCCAGTTGTTGTTTATCAGTGAGCACACCACACGCAACGCTTCACATCCGCCAAACTCTCTACATCTCATGAGTCCTCTGAAACTTTCTTCTAGAAAACTGCCCACATTATCACATTTGGGGCTTCGTAAAGCGACTGGTGCCTTGCTAAGCGTGCTCGTAGGGAGAATCTTGCTGCTTTGGGTCCATATTGGTACCCTCCGTTCCAGAAACTCACATATGAAGCCGCTGCCAAGTAGCAGCTTTTCTGGCCCTCCTGTTTGCAAGAGGGCTTTGGCACAGGAGAATTGCAAGTCTACAGCACGACTGGCGTTCTATAGAGGGCTTTGTCAGGGCTGTGTAGGGGGTTGACGTGGATTGATAGGCCCTCCGGCTCAGTTTGTTTTCTGGGGTCAAAACCCCAGACTCTAAACCGCGGAGTTCAGTATCCCCACACAATGAAAAAAACATCGCCTCTGGTGGGGGGTTCAGGACAGAGCTTGCGTATAATATAGAAGCCTTGATCGTCAGCATGCTCCGAGGTTCATGGGTGGCTATAAGTAGGGCTACGGCCCTAATATGGGGTATCCTACTTCTAACCCCCACGTCTAACTACTCATGCAGCTCCAAGCAGGGCTTTCAATTGTGGTGTGCCTCAAAGCATGATTGGAAAGGGAAAGCATTCGTAGATACTCAGACGCCTAAGTCTTCAAGAGTAGTTCGGATCAGGGTCATCCCTCACCGAAGGAGTCCGAGGGCTTGAGGTTCACCAGGATGTCACGAGACTGTAAGCTTCTTGCGAACAGTAGGGGTACCTTGTCTTGGGGGTCCTTGAAATGAGGATCCTGCTATTTAGGGTACTATATTATTAATATTAGGGTCCCCCGTTGTCGGAAATCCCCATATAGTTCGACGCGTTTAGGGTCAAAGCTTTACCTCCGCAGCTCTAATGAGCGTAGGGGAAAGCGTTGAAATACTCGCGAGACGGTCACACCCAAGTAGGGGTTCAGGGTTCATTTTACCCCTCTTGCAGTTTTCCGGTAACTGCAAGGGCACATCCGATGCTGCATCAACGGAAGCCTCCCTCCCCAAAGTCCAAGACGCAGGGACACAGGACCGTAATAAACTCCGAGCAACCCCCGCGAACCCGTGAGATTCTTGAAGAGCCTTAAAGCGGCACTGCTCCATGTTTCAATGTGCGGGCTCCTAACCCTCAATTTTCCCAAAATCCATGCAAGCAAAGAATGAGCTTCCTGTTTCTTTAGGGATGCTTGCACCCTGCCGGCGAGGTGCTGTGAGCGGTCGGGTCCGCCTCGGGCATCTGCGATCCGTGCAGATTCCATCTCCTGCGTGGGATGGGGTTTAGGCTCCTACGCAGGACCTTAGGGTTCCGTTAAGGGTACTTCAAGAGCTCTATAAGGGGCTATCCGGGTTAGGAACCCAGCAATACCTGACGTAGGAGTCCTTATGGTAAGCCAGGATCGTTTTGGTCAGGCTCTAGTGTAGGATCCCTGGTCAGCTGAGACTCCCGACAGAAATGGTAGTTTAGGGCTTACCTAGATCCTCGTTACAGTTCCTCTGGTCGTTCAGCACATGCGTCCTTGCCAACAAGATAGGTCGGAGCCTTGATATAATCAAGAGGAGGATTTTGGGTGTTTTAGACAATGATTGTATAGGGACTACTATTCCGACTTCCACATCCTACGACACTGGCAGAAATACTTTGGTCTTTGGCTTCACTGGTTGGATGCTTACAGATTAAAACAATAATGAAATCTTTAAAGTAGTCCTCATTTGCATCAAATACTTTAGGATCGAAGTCTGTAGTATGAGGGCCTTAAATAATTAGAATAGGGTTTTGGGGCCTACTATACCATGCTTATTATAACAAGGAACCTCCAAAATAGTATAGGTAATCATTACGGCCCCTATATTACTATATTGCTATATGGGGTACTCTAAGGCCCAAAAGTAGTTCCTTTCGGGGTTCATATTTAGAAACCTATTAGGTAACCCCAAAAAGAAACTACTTTGGGGCCTATGGGTACTTGCTGGCGGACCGACGCCAGCTCTACCAACACCCGATAAACCCAAACCCTAAACCCCTAAACCCTAAACCCTAAACCCCTAAACCCCTAAACCTGCACTCTCAAACTCAATATGGGTACCCTACATAGTAGGTGCCGTATTTATATTAATGACCCCAAAACGGACCCTAATTTCAACAACCACCCATATACTTTGGTCCCAAAGTACTTATATAGGGTAACCCCCAAAAGGAACTACTTTGGGGCCTATGGGTGCATGGACAAGGCCGATTCACGCTCGAATTTCGTGCTCTGCAGCGCGATGTAGCTCTGACCATCCTCGTTTTTGCTACCTAAAAAGGCCAAAATTCCTACGATGTTGAGTGCTTGGACCGTTAGGGTTACAAAGATTCCACGATTTCTGGGGCAAGCTCCAAAATTGGTCGGTTGCCGGCTGTGCCCTCTCCACGTTCGACTTCGTGGGCTTCCGGACCAACTTCTGCGGCCGCGTCCTCGGTGCTCTGTGCAAAGCACCTTCACTCGGGCAGCCAGTCCCAAACCTTGGCCTTGTGGCGACTCTTAGCCGAGAGGAAATTATTTAGGCCCCTATATTACACCCAAGCCCGGGCTTGGAGACAAATAGTCTGGGCTGAGGGCCGGCCTGCAAATGGGCAACCTCTAGATCCAGAACCTTCTCAGATCTCAAGGGATTATTAGGCATTAGGGCGTTAAGGGGTAGAAGTTTAGGGTTTAGGGGTTTAGGGTTTAGGGGTTTTGGGTTTAGGCATTAGGGGTTGAGTGTCTGAAGGCCTTTCAATTTTGAGGTAAGCCGTTTGAGGTTACATGAAGAGACCGCGCCAGCCCATACCCCTTAAGATCTGTTTCGTTAAAGTGTATTATACCGGGGTTATAGGGATTCTGATGAGTTGCCTTGCGTCTTGTGTGGTGAGGGTAGGTCGGGCTTCAGCCACACATGGAAACCGACCCACAGACGAACTGCAACACACATGCAACTCTTAAACACAATGACATAGAAAGGCAAGCAACCTTCGAGGCCCTCTGTTCTCTGCGCAGAAGTCCCGTAACTCACTCCCATACTACTCCACCGATTGCTCTACAATGGTGCTGAATAAAAACTCAAGAACAAGATGTGAAATAGAACTTCCACTATGAGTATCCCACTGACTCCTAAATAGCACCCAACACATACTCTCACCAAGATTAGTCCAAAGGTACCATGCACACAGTCGAAGACTAGATGGAAGACAACACCCACATAGACTTAGGAAGCCAAGCACGATGCTAAGACTGACCTGCACCTTCTTCTGGAGCATGTCCACGTCGTTTTCGAACTGTGTTAAGTGCACCTTGCACTGAACCCGGAATCTTGAATGCCCTAAATCGTAGAACCTCGACCCCCAAAGCACTCAGCATAAACAAAATCCACCCAAGTCCTAAATCAAAAAGCTTTGAATCCCTGAGTCCCTGAAACCCAAAACCTTGGAAAGCCGACGGACACCCAACCCTTTAAAGGGATCTATGAGGGTTCCTTTAAAGGGAACTTTAGGTTTATTGCTTGGGGGTTTAGGGGTTTAGGATCTAGAGACCTACAGCAAACCCCAATAAGTTGGAAACCGGGTTAAGGCCACATAGTGCTGGGATTCCCTATACATTACTCTTAAGGATTGAGGCCCAACTTTTAGGCTTCTACTGTACCTGGACCCCAAAAGTATGTAGAATGATAGCCTTTTATAGGATTCGGGCCATTATTCTACCTAGCTTTGGGGATCTAATTAAGCCCGAAACCCACTTGATGTTGTAGTTGTTGGAGCTCGGCTCCGAGAATAGTGCAGATCTTGGGGACCAGCGCAACTGATGCCTTACAGATTTCATAAGCCCCAAGGCTCCATGTCCCTACATAGTGCGTACTTGGGTCTTCAAGGGCTTCTATACAGGTACTTTAAGGCCTAAGTAGATAATGTATGGGGACATGGAGCCTTCCGGAACGATATAAGAGGATCAACATTGAAACCTGGAACCACAGACATACATTGCTGAAGCTTTGATGTCGGAATGAAGAGGCACATGGACGAGCATATGCAAATACCGTGCTTCGTTCCTCTAGAAGACGAAAATCTCACGAGTTGATGACAAGGGCAACAATCCCAGAAGCCAGCCGGCATAAGCCTGAAACCCACCAACACCAAAGCCCTGGCCCCTAATTGCACAACGGCGTCGAGCTGACCCTCAATCATGAACTCAATTGAACCTATATAACCCCTTAACCCTTCACTCCAATGTTCTACCTCCATGAATTAAGCTTGCAGCCCCAAGACTCAAAACCTCGAAGTTTGAACTCTCATAGTTCAGTAGTAATCAGTAATAGGTTTTCAGGCTTCAGGGTTTAAACCCTAAACCACGGCCATAGAGTTTAGGGTCAGGGCTACTTGGAGGTTCATGGGTAGTTCTAAATAGGGTTATAAGTCCGCTAGAAGATGCTATAACTATACTTGTTGTACGTATAGCCGCACTTATAACTACCCATGAACCTCCAAGTAGAGCCTATAGTTGGAGGATCATGGGACTTAGTAAGTAAGGTTATAATTACCCTAATTAGGGTTCTAAGTTAAATATATTGTTGCCCCAAAGACAACCCCAGTTACGAAGTACCATGACCCTTTAACTAGGATGCCCAATAGCCTAGGAATAAGAAGGGCTCCCTTTTTGGTATTGGGTAACTTTATAACTAGACCTAAGAGTAACCTAGGAATAAAAAGGGAATACGGGTACTACTGGGCATCCTAGTTAAGTAAGGATCCGCAGTCAAGCCTTCAGCTGCTTTGGGTCCATGTCTTTCAGCAACTCCTGGCTCTCTGTGCTTGGGGTTTAGGGGTAGACCCTGCTGGCCAAGAAACAAACCCGAAACCCTTATCCCTGAAACCTAAATCCCTAAACCCTAATCCCTAAACCCCACACCCCTATCCCTAAAATCCCGGGGTTTTGGGCATGGGATTACGGATTGAAGCCTGCCCTCTTAAATGTTTGGGCCCTTGTTGAGGCTTCCTGGCTCAGGGCCACACTCTTTCAGGGATTTGGGTCATTTGGGCCATTTGGGAGTTTCCGAAAATAGGGGACCTTGTTATAGTACCCCAAAATAGTAGGATTCTTATTATAAGGACCCCCAAATAAGGAACCCCTCGTTTTCGAAAACACCCATTTGGGCTATGTTGGGGTATTTGGGCTATTCTGAGCCTTGGGGTACAAATGCGGCTGATTTGTCTGCAGCCGCAAACAGACTCTCGACGCCACTTGGCTCGAGTTTGCGCTTTATTGGGACTCCAGCTCCTGATCAACGAGTGCTAAACTCTGCATTTGCTACAAGGAGTCCCAAGGCACTGCTTAGCTCCAAAGCCATGTGTAGCTAGGGTGGACAGCCTGGATAGGGCTTCTGGTGCTTTATGCTTTAGGATGCTAATTTTAGGGTTTAGGGGTATTAACCCCTAAACCCTAAACCCTAAACCCCTAAACCCTAAACCCCTAAACCTTAAACCCTAGACCCTAAACCCCTAACCCCTAAACCCCTAAACCTTAAACCCTAAACCCTAAGGGATCAGCTGCTGTTTCGATCTCAACCCTGACCCGAAAACCCCAAGCCCTCGACTCGAGGCCCTAAGCGTTGAACCCTAAACCCAAATCCTACAAACCCTGCCTTAACCCTGAAGAACCTACCTTTTTAAGGCTCCCTATTATGATTTCCTTATATGAATCCTTAAAAAGGTAGGTTCTTCAGGGTTAAGGTAACCCCTAACCCCCAAACGGTCCATCTTGACCCTGACAGAAAACTCAAAACCCCTGCGGCCTCTGTCAGGACAGTGTTGTCTGCATTGACCTCCTGCAGCCTGCCAGACAGTGTCTATGGCTTAGGATGGATTTAGGGTTTAGGATTCATGGTTCAGGGTTTTGGCTTTAGGACTTTAGGATTTAGGGCTTTGAATATAAGGATCAGGTTTCGGGGTTTAGGGTCCTATGGCTAAAAATGATCCCGGAATACAGCCTGTAGTACACAGCACCGTTTCCTTACTTCCCCAATAAACCATGAAAATAAAAGGTTAAACTTTCCGATTCATACTAAACTATAAGAACCCAAAAAGTTTAAAGGCTAGGTATTGGGGATCTAAGTTTCTAGTGGGGCCCCCAGGTTCGAGCAGAGCAGGATTTGTTGTATGAGCGCAAGTCTCCCTAAGGGTCATATGCTTTGGTTTAGGGTACCACGAGGGCTAGTTAAAAGGGATCCCTAAGAGTTCTACAATAGAAGGGTTTAGGGTATAAGGGATCATGTACCCAAATAGTATATACTTTGGTCCCAAAGTACCTATATAGGGACTACTTCAAGGCTAATGTATATACTCTTTGGGTACATGGGCCCTTACCCAAAGGTCCAAGCACTCAATACTGTAGGACTTTTGATCTTTTTAGGTACCAAAAACCATAAATATGGACTACTTGGACCCTAAGGGTTAGGGTATGGGGATCATGGAGAATGATTTGTTGTCCAGCTATGGACTTCAAATTCCCTGCGTGGCTCGGCAGGCGACAAGTCTTTGTATAGGGGCCTTAATAAGTAGAACAGGTTTTTGGGGCCCCATATGCTATAATGATAATAAGGACCCCCGCCAAAAAAAAAGTATTGGTAATTGTTTAGGCCCCTGTGTTAAATGTTCCTTGCCCCTCCGCAGCTCAGAATCGTTGAAAAAAGGACTTCGGGGTTCAGCTACCATCATAAGAACAGGAAAGGTCTTTGGCTTCTCAGAGCCTTGAAGGCAAAACCTTAGGTCTTGCCCTAAAGTAGTTCCTTTTGGGGGTTCATATTTAGAATCCTATTAGGAAATCCCAAAAAGGAACTACTTTGGGGCCGATGGGTACTTGCATCCAGCTGGCGGACCGACGCCAGCTCTACCAACACCCTGATACCTGAAGCCTACACTCTCAAACTCAGTGCGTCTTGAACGTGGGCTGGAGAAACCCGACGAGTGCAAAGCCACTTCCGGAAAGGCCAAGCGACTACGTACGACAAGGATAGATGACGATAGGGGTTCTGGTGACACTCGCAGTAATGGATCGTCACTGAATCGTCACTGCATTAGCAACAGCAGCAGCCCAAGGAGTAGTACAGTATTGTGAGTCAGTCAGTCTTTCAGTGAACAGGTGAGTGAGTGAGTGAGTGAGCAATGTAATCGTACCTACCAATGTCAGCCCCGAAACGTTGACTGTGTGATTCTATGGTCGCAAATTGGTTAGTTGGTAAGCTGGTTTGTGGTAGCTCGCTCTGAACTATATTCAAGTAGGGCCTGTTCGTGATCCCGACCCGGAGGCACAATCTCAAACACAAGGTCTCAGCCGGTCGTCAAACCCTCAACCCTAAACCCTAACGCCCTAAACCAGAACTGAACTATTAAGGTTAGTGTTTATGGTGCCGGGTTGTTTATGTGTGTAGGGCTTAGCGGCTTGAGCCTGATATGGGGTTCGGGTTAGGGTTTCGGGTTTTGGGTATGGTTTAGAGTGAGTTTTGGGTTTAAAGTTTAGGGTCAGTTTAGTAGAGCATACAGGCAACGAGCATAATACACCAGGAATTGAAAATTCAACCGTAGATACGATGCCCACAAACATTTAAGAACAGGGCTGAGGGACAGCGGCTCGCAGTGGAGTGGTGCACAGTACAGGTGATCCTGCACGGCAATGCTGTCACCACCATACTCAGAATCGCCCCAGGTCACGACTGATCCGTTGTCCAGGATGGCTGCAAAAGCGACACGAGTGGCTTCAATGTGCCGCACTGTCTTCAACTGGTCCTGTGCAGAGCTGCTGTCGCCGCCTGAGTTAGCGTCGCCCCACGTGACGACAGACCCATCACGGAGAACGGCTGCGAAAGCATATGCAGCGGCATAGATATTTTGCACGGTCTGCAGCTGATGCTGCACAGCCGCGCTGTCGCCGCCAGCACCTGTATCACCCCAGGTCGCGACAGATCCATCTCCAAGAATGGCAGCGAAAGCATAAAAAGAGGCCTGGACAAGCTGCACATCCTTCAGCTGGTCCTTCACTGCAATACTGTCACCGCCGTAGTTGCTATCCCCCCAGGTCACGACGGATCTATCGTCAAGAACAGCAGCGAAAGCATAAAGCGAAGCGTGAACTCGCTGCACATGCAACAGTTGATCCTGCACTGCACTGCAGTCACCACCACAACTTGCATCACCCCATGTCACGACCGATCCATCGCCAAGGACGGCTGCAAAAGCGCCGCGAGAGGCGTTGATATGCTGCGCGTTCTTCAACTGATCCTGTACAGAGCTGCTGTCACCGCCAGAGCCAGCATCGCCCCAGGTCACAACAGATCCATCGCGCAGAACGGCAGCAAAAGCGTTAAAGGAGGCGTGGATATGCTGCACATTCTTCAGCTGTTCCTGCACAGTACTGCAGTCACCACCGCATCGCCCCACGTCACGACAGACCGGTCGCCAAGAATCGCTGCAAAGGCGCCCTCCGTGGCTTGGATCTCCAGCACATTCTTGAGCTGACTCTGAACTGCTTCGCTGTCGGCACCATCAAAAGGTTTACCCCAGGTGACCACACTTCCATCTTCAAGAAGGGCCGCAAAAGCTGCCCTAGACGCCGTGATTCGCTTTACATGGTTTAGCTGATCCTGCACAGCACTGCAGTCAGAACCACCTTCAGTATCGCCCCCAAGTCACGACCGTTCCATCACCCAGAGTGGCAGCAAAAGCATACGCACTCGCGCACACTTGAACTCTGCCTACGCGAAAGGTCAGCAAATCACCGTTTTGCACCACAGCCGTGATCGGCCTGCATTCATCCAGCGCAAATCCAGACGGGTCCAAGAGCCGCCCTTTGCCGACTCCTAGTGCGCTCTGGGCACGGGAATTCACTTCCTCCACCTTCTCAGTTAGCCCTGCTTCCAGTATAACCTTCCTCCCACTGAAAAGTCCAACTTCTACAAGAATCGACATGGTGGTTTCCGAAAATAGGGGACCCCAATATAGTACCCCAAAATTGTAGGATCCTTATTATCGGAAACTCACACATGGCAACCAAGGAAAAAACAAACAAGGAGCAATGCGCGGGGGAGATTCTCGGCTCTGTTTTTGCTGCTCTCCCTGGCTCAAAGCTGCTTTAGATGCACCAGCCCTGGGGGGGAAACTGCAGAGCTCGCACCTAGTTTTTGTGGCTACCCATATATAGGGTCCAAAGTAGTTCATTTAACCCTTATAGGATTCTAAACATGAACCCCAAAAAGGAACGACTATGGAGCCTATGGCTACAGCCAGCCCTGAGCCGGTGTCTGCCTTTTTTCTTCTAAAGGGCAAAGCCTTGTTCCGAAAGGCCACGATTCTTGAAGCTGTACATGTCGTTTCGGCACTGTAAACCACCAAACCCCATTGACCACATAAACCCAGCTTTGTTAATCGACAGCTCTATACAAGCTCTGATACTCCTAAAACCACTTTATGGCTTGTAGGGTTTAGGAGTTCTTTGTTCTGACTTCCTGATACAAGTTCGGAAAAGGTAGGTTGTTTGGGCCTTGGGTACTGTTTACGGCTTACGCCTCAGGGCTTATAGATGGAGTTTAGTGAGGGTTTCGGAGGGTCTCCTTGTTAAATTAAGGGTGCCACTAGGGTGATTCTACGGTGGGTTACACATCTAGGGCATCCTTCACGGCTTTTATAACTCTTTCAGGGTTTGTGGGCTTTTCTAATGTTTATAGGGTCCAAGTAGGCCCTGAACCATAAAACCCGATAAGCCCTGGTTCCTAAACCCCCAAACCCTAAAGCCGTGATACCTTAAAGAGCAAGTGACCCCTTAAAAGCAGGGCCCTTGCACCCGTAACTATGATTCCCTATGTACGGTGTTTGACCCTTACACCCTTGCAGGGCTCATTTCGTCCTGAAGGTATGTACTAAACCCTAAACCCTCAACCCCTAAACCCTGAACCTTGAACTGAACCCCTAAATCCTAGACCCCTGAATCCTAAACCCCTAACCCCCCCCCCCGCCTCCCCAACTAACCTCTACTATGACTATACCCCAACTACGGACTGTTCAGGACCATAAGATATCCATAAAAAAGGGCCACTCCTACTTCTACTAATTACTACTACTACTACTACTACTACTACTACTACTACTACTACTACTACTACTACTACTACTACGACTACTACGACTACTACGACTACTACGACTACTACGACTACTACGACTACTACGACTACTACGACTACTACGACTACTACTACGACTACTACTACTACTACTACTACGACTACTAACACTACTAACACTACTACTACTACTACTACTACTACTACTACTACTACTACTACTACTACTACTACTACTACTACTACTACTACTACTACTACTACTACTAACACTACTAACACTACTAACACTACTAACACTACTACTAACACTACTACTACAACAACAACTAGATCCCTTTATAGATCCCTTTAAGGAACCATAACCCCAGTTACTAAGTCCCATGATCCTTTAAGCCCTCCCTCCCGGCCTCTGGGCCGTGGCCTGGCGCTGTTCTGCCTCGAGTTGTTCTTTCGCCTGGCAGCTCTGCTCTCAGTTGGGGTTAAGGGCTCCGTTTAAGGGCTCCTTTAAAGGGATCCTATAGGTTTAGGGCTCCTTTTAAGGGCTCCTTTAAAGGGATCCTATAAAGGGCCCGGGGTTACAGGGTTTATGGGTTTAGGGATCAGGGTTGCAGGGCTTTGGGGTTTAGGGTTTAGGGGTTTAGAGTTAGAAGTTCGGCATTTAGGGTTACAAAATTTAGGGGGCTTAGGGTTTAGAAGTTCGGGGTTACAGGGATCGTCAGTGTCAGGGCATTTTTTCATGGGACGCTACATACCTCAACCCTAGTCTCAAATTAGAGTTTGGATTCCGGCGTTGGGCTCTTGCGGTTTGCATAGATTCACACGTAGAGGCTTCAGGTTATGACCTGACACGCTTCTTAGCTGGTAAGTCGATGCTTCGCTGGCGAAAGGGTTTGCAGTACGATTGGGATGGGCACTGCGTTTACTTGTAAGTGCCTATCCTTCGATTCAACTCAAACTTGTTGAGCAGTGCACATGGATAACAACAAACCCCCAAGCCCTAAGCCTTAACCCGGCAAACCGTCAGTCCTAAAATGTATATGAGACCATCAACCTCCGCCCCGAAACGCGTAAATCCTATCAACAAATCCTTATAAACCCTAGACCCTACACCCTAAACCCGAAATCCCAACATTTTTCTGTGTGACTTGAGCGGTATTTGGGCTCTTTTGCAGAGGACTCAGGGCTAGAGAAGGCCAAGGCCCTTGAGAGCAAGCACGGTTTAGTTTAGGGGTTTAGGGTTTGCGGGTTGAGGGTTTAAGGTTTTAGGGTTGTCTTCGTAAATACTGCCGGTAGAGACAGTTCAAGCTTGAGGGTTCAATGATAAAGGGTTGTATTTTCAAGCTCTGGTAGCTAGAGCTTCGGATTTCAGGCACAGTGTATAGTCGAGGGTGTGGTGTCGGGACGATCTCCCTTTGGTTAGTAGGGAGGGGAGAGAATGGTAGTAATAGCAGTTATAATTCTACCGCATTCCTCCATTCCCTACTAACCCAAGGTAAGACGATGACCGCCCCCTCACCAAAAGCCGCAAACCCTAGACCCCTAAACCCTAAACCCCTAAACCCTAAACCCCTAAACCCTAAACCCTAGAACCCTAAACCCTAAAACCCTAAACCCCGAAACCCTAAAACCCTAACTAGAAGACAATTGGCCCGAAAGCATCATCAGCGAAGAGTGTTGTGCTACGTTATAGAATCCAGTGTATAGGATCATATAGAGTCACCGAGCCAAAAGCACAGAGTCACACAGCATACAGTCAAGAGTCGTACAAGTCATAGTTCATAGAGTCACAGAGCCATAGAGTCGAGTACATGTCAAGTACAATTCATAGTTCAAAGAGTCATAAAGTCATAGAGTCATAGAGTCACAGTGAGATAGAATCATAGAGTCATAGTGCCCTAAACTGTGCAACTTTACCTAACGTTTGAGCTCTCGACGAGGCCAATCCCTGTGAAGGGTTGCGCGCGGCGCCTAAAATGTGCAACTTTACCTAGCGTTTGGGTGCTCGACCAGGCCAATCCCTGTGAAGGGTTGTGCGCGCACCCTAAAATGTGCAACTTTACCTAGCGTTTGAGCGCTCGACGAGGCCAATCCCTGTGAAAGGTTGCACGGGGCGCCTAGTAACTTGAAAAATGTGCAACTTTACCTAGCGTTTCAGCGCTCGACGAGGCCAATCCCTGTGAAGGGTTGCGCGCGGCGCCTAAAATGTGCAACTTTACCTGGCGTTTGGGTGAGTCAAGTGTCAAGTATAGAGTCAAGTGTCAAGTATAGAGTCAAGTGTCATAGAGTCAAGTGTGAAGTATGTCAAGTATATCATAGAGTCAAGTGTCAAGTATGTCAAGAATAGTTCACATGTCAAGTATAGAGTCAAGTGTCATAGAGTCAAGTGCCAAGTATGTCAAGTATAGTTCACATAGAGTCATGCAGTCCTTGCATGTTATCGATGTGCTTGATTCTATGCCTGTCATCGGCTCCGCACACCCTAAACCCCTAAACCCTAAACCGCAAACCTTTTTAGGGACCAGCCTCGGCCTGCATCTTGTGGAGAAGATCTTGGATGTCCTGCAAAGGCTTTGGGGTTAAGGGTTTCAGGGCCCTAAATCAAAGGGGAAAAAGAAGGGACCCTTAATGGGGACCCCTACCCTATAATGGGCTATATAATGGGTATATAATAGCTATACTGAGGTTATATACCTAGGGGTCCTTATTAAGGGTCCCTGCTTCTACCCTTGGGGTTAAGGGTTTCAGGGCCCTAAACCCCCAAAGCATACGAAGCATAAGTCTGCTAAGCAATGCTTAGCTGAACCCCGAACGCTATAGGCCACTAGGTTTAGGGTCGGGCAGCTCTGCACGACCCTTAGGGTACCAGCGCTCGGCTCGACGTTGCATTATTTGGTTCTACAGGTTGCGTTGCGCACTCTACCATCCACTGAAACTAGGTTCAAGGTTTCAGGATTAAGTATTGAAGTTGGAGGTGAAGGCTTTTGGTCGAAGTACCCAGCATGAGTAGTAATGCCAGAACGACTTCACTAGCATCAGGATCCCTATCACCAACTACTTCGGAAGAAGAGCATAAACAAAGAGATCCAAAGCAGTAGCGGTAGCATAAGCAACAATATCAACAATCAAAAACAGCAGCAGTCATGCACCCGCTTGCCGCCTTGTCCGGCTCGGGTGGGTCTACACCGTTCTCTGCCGCCTGAGCGCAGTGAGGCTTTTTCGTGGTCAAAGATTCGCAGCTCTCTGAAGCCTGCAATAGACCTAAAAAACGAATCACGATGCTACGGTCGATGATATACATCCTGCATTACCTTAAGGGCCCTAAACCATGAGAATTATAGTATATTCCTTATTATGGGTAATGCGGGATATATATATATATATATATATATATATATATCATCATCATCAACCGTAAGACTGAGAAGGCTCCAATGTTTCATTCATCTTTAGGCCCCACCTGAAGCCCTACAACCCTGCGATAGAAAAGCAGAAGACATCCACAACAACCCAAAACCCTAGCCAAACCCTAAACCCTAACCCCTAAACCCTACACCCCAAAAATCACAAAACCCTAACCAAACCCCCCCAATTCCTCAAACGCTGATCGCAGGCATCGGCCTCCATCGCCCCTTCCAGAAAGGAAAGCGCCTGTCTGCAAAGCCATCCCTAAGGGTCCATGTATCCATATAGAGATACATGGGCCCCAAAGTACCTATATAGGGACCACATTAAGGCCAATGTATATACTAGACCTAAGAGTAACCTAGGAATAAAAAGGGTGCCCTTTTTGGTTTAAAGGGGTTTACAAGGGAACCTGAACCCTGTCAAAAGGGAATAAGGGCCTACTCCATGTCCTAGTATACTATATGAGTAGATGGACCCTTACGGCATGGTCAAGAGCGGCCTTTAAGGTTTAGGGGGTTTAGGGTTTGGGGTTCTGGGTTTAAGGCTGGTTGCTTTTCGTTAAGAAGCTTGTTGAATAAGTGTGCAAGCGGCTTTAGGCGGGCCTATTACATCTCTTTTTTATGAAGGAATATGCCTAAAATCATGTTAATGTCCGTCTGTATCTGCTTTCCCGGCTTGAAGCCACCACGTTGGTACCATGACCTCTATCTGCATCATACTACATGAATCCTCGTGGCTGTTGGTTAATTTGTTCCCTAGGGACAGGATGTAAACCTTAAGCCAACATAAAACAAAAAACGGGTGCATCAATACAACTACTGCGGCCACCACTCCACCACCACGACTTCCACCTCTCCACCACGACCACCACGACTGCTACGACGACGACGAGGACGACAACGACGACTCCTGTTGGGGCTGCTGCATCGCCATTGTTCCGAAGCCCTGAATCCTGAATTCTCCGTAGTAGAGGGTACCCTAAACCATAAACCCTAACGTCCTAAACCCCATTATTTGTGGGTCTGGTCCCTGCCTTTTGGTTCACGTCAAGCGTCTGCTTCTTGAGGTGCGCATCCCGGACAAGCTCGTTCATGACTGAGAGCCGCGGATTTTGTGGCTTGAGATTTATCAAGGGGGTTGGGGGTTTAGGGTTTAAGGGTTTGGGGTCTGGGGTTTACGGTTTAAGGGCTTTGGGTTCAGGGCTCTAGCCGCGCCGCCCCACATCCCGAACCTAACTCGTCAATCTTACAAGGCTTCATGCTCTAGGGAGTTGGGTGTAATTAAGGCCCCTAAACTAGTTCCTTTTTGGGGTTCATATCTAGAACCCGATTAGGTAATCCCAAAACGGAACTACTTTGGGGCCTATGCGTAGGGAACAGGGGCTCGCGGCTCGGGTTTGTGTTTACGGTTTTTGTTGTCGACCTTACGGGAATAAACGGTTCACCACAAGCACCTGAATCGTTTGACGAGGGCTTCCGGAGAGCTTCATGCTGAAGTGAAACTCTTCAAAAGTAGTGCTTTGTATCGCGATGTGAGCAATTACAAAATCCTAGTCCTAAACCGTCAGCCCTACTTGGAGGATAATGGGACTTAGCAAATAAAGTTATAAGTACCCTACTTGGGGTTATAAGTATAGTTACCCTTAATGACTCTGGTTACTAAGTCCCATGATCCTTGAAGAAGCCTCAAACCTTTAGGCCAGATATACAGCCGAAGCCTAGCTGCCGGAACTCTGAACTCCAGACTCTCAGCCCTAAAGCGGGCCCGAGAGCCGCAGTTCTACCAGTAGTGGCCATGAAGCTGTATCGAACTCATATACTGGGGTCTAGGGTTTAAGGATTTAGGGTTTAGGGTTCAGGGATTTAGGGTTTAGGGATTTAGGGATTTAGGGTTTAAGGGTTAAGGGTTTACATTTAGGGTTTAAGGAACTATTACAACCTCTTATAGGGACGTAAGAACCCCTATAAGGACACTGAACCGTACCCTTACAGCCACCCCCTACCCAGACCCCTGGGGAGGATCTAGAAAGTAGATCCCCTAATTTGCGGGCCCTATACTACTAAGGCTACTTTACATTATGGGAACCCCCCCCATTAAGGGATCTACTTTTTGGATCCTCCCGGGGGTCTGGGTGCAGGAGCTTCGAGAGATCAGAAGAAGTTGTCTGCAGCTGGGCCGAGCCGCTGGATTGCAAGCCAGAGATCCTGGGTTCTTGTCAAGAGGTTTAGTTTAAGCTACAATAATAACAGGGGCCTAGGTCTTGAGGAGAAAGTTACCATTCTAAGAAAACCATAATACACATTATTTATTATAGGGCCTATAGTATACGGTTTATGGTTTCCTTATAAAGGTAACTTGTTAAATTCAACTCCTTAAGAAGAATCCGGGATCCTTCGCAGCTTCGACACTCCGGGGACTGCTTGCTTTGGGACTTCGGAGTGTAAAGTCCTACCCTAAGAGTCCAAGTACCGATTTATCATACACTCTCAAAAATAGTAACCTGCACAACTACCATCCCAAACCCGAGTAAATCATTATTGGGTCCTTTGGACCCTTAGGGCTAAACCCTAGAAGCCCGAAGGGCTTTTGGGGGCTTTGCTGTCTGAAGGGGTCGTTGGGAGTTTGGGGGAGGTTAGGTGGGGATACCAAAGCAGCGTGGCTCTGAAGAGTTCTTGTAGTCGCACATGTGGGAGTTTCCGAAAATAGGGGACCCTAATATAGTACCCTAAATAGCAGAAACCTCATTATAAGGACCCCCACATAAGTTACCCCTAATTTTCGGAAACTTTCATGTGCCGCTTGGGCTTACCACCAGGCTGGTGTCGCCAGTCCGAGCGTCCTTCACCCTAAGGGTCCATGTACTCATATAGCATATCCATAGGGTTCCTTTAAGGGTACCATAAGGGCTACGTTAAGGGGTAAGGGTTTAGGGTATAAGGGTCCATGTACTCATATACTATTATACTATATACATTGGCCTTAATGAAGCCTTAGTGTAGTCCCTATATAGTACATTGGGGCCCATGTATCTCTATATGGGTACATGGACCCTCAGGGCGATATCAGGTGCACGAAGCCTAGCGGCCTAGCGTCTGGGTCTCCCAGCCCCGAGCCATCTGACAAGGTAGAACCTGGTCCAACAAGGCATACATCAAAAGTCGCACACACTAAACAAGCCACGCAACAAAAAAAAAAAAAAAACACTTATAAACCACAAAACGTGCCAACCTGAACCCCGATTCGCAAGCTCCCTGCACCGAGGCGCTGTGTCAAAAGCTCTCCGGCACGATGCCCCTTTTTCGAGTCCACCTCCTCAGTGAGAGGTTGGGATTGGGTTGGGTATTCACGGGGGGTTGGGTGGTTTGGGTAGCTCGAGTGGGCTAGGCAGGTGGGGTAGCAGTTTAGGCGTTGGTTCTGGCTTCAGACGTTCATGGTATGTGGCTGGGAGGGTTTAGGACCATAGTGTTCTCTAAGGGTCCATGTACCCATAAAGAGATACATGGGCCTTAATGTAGTCTCTATATAGGTACTTTGGGGCCCATGTATCTCTATATATGGGTACATGGACCCGTAGGGGTTGTTTCTTTTGGTTGCTTGCGCTACCTGAACTTCCATCCAGGCCTGGGTCTCATTTCAGGCTATTGAGTGGTTGGCGTAAGGGTGATGATGGCGCGTCGACGACGACAACCTGGACGATGACAACGTCATCATTGTCGTCATCGTCGACGTGGTTGTGGCTGTTGCTGTTGCTGCTGGTGGTGTTAACTGCTTTTGATGCAATTGCTGCTCTCGCTGTTGCTGCTGCTCTCGCTGTTGCTCCTGCTGCTGTGGCGGGACACCGACAAGTTGCTGGTCATCCGATCCGGACCTCGTCTAGTTCTACAAAATATTATCGCGGCCTTGGACATTGGGTACCTTATCCAGCCATGCATGTTACAAGCAGGATTAATCCTACCATTTAGTGTCTGTTTGGGGTCCCCCGTTTTCTATCCTTCCCAAGTGGGCTCGTGCATTACATTAATTTTCCGATGTCTGCCCGAGTTCTTGGATCATACACGGCGATGACACATTGAGTGACTTAAACTGGGTTGGCCTTTAGGCACCCTGAAAAATATTTATATATAGGGTCCCTTATAAACCCAAATAAGGAAAATAAAAATGTCCCAAAATCCAACCCAGTAAACCATTTACAACCTGAAAGCTGCAGCCAGAAGTCTGTCGAGGTTTGGTTCTCCGACTCAACGCTTTTGTGCCCGGAAGGTGATTCTTCTTCACCATCCCTAGGATCACAGGGACTCTTAGGGAGGCAGGGGGAGGGTGGTTAGGGGACTATACTTCCTTAAATAGAGGCCTTGTTAAGTCCTTATTATAGGTACTAAGGCCCCCTACCCCCCTAAATGTGCTTATGATAGGACGTTGCGCCACCAGCACCGGCCGTTCACAAACCCCAAGCCCTGCCTGTAAGGAAAGCAGGAGCCAGAGAATGTAATGAGAATAGGGCTTTGGGTGTAGTAGAACAACCATACATACAAGGGGTAGTCCAAAGAATAAGCTTGGCAAGTGCACAGGTTTAGAACTCAAGAGTTTCACGTCCCAGAAAGTCGAGGGTTGAGGGCGGGTAGGGGAATTTCCGGGGACCTAGTGGATCGAGCGCTGCAAAAATTGGGCTATGTTCCAACAGGACCTTTGCCGTATAGTGTGGGGCCGTAGAGTATAGTGTAATACAGTAGAGTAGGGTGGTACAGGAGAGTAGAGTATTGTGTTTCAGGGCTTGGGCTTCCATTGTAGTTCCTTTTTTGGTTAACCAAAGATCTCTATTATAGGATCGGATCCTAACCATAAAACTGGTTAACCAAAAAAGGAACTACAATGGAGCCTCTAGGTGAGGTTTACATGTGTTTGCGGGCTGAGGCTGTTTCACATCGGGCTCAGGGTTTTAAGGATTCGATCAAGCTTCAGAACTAAATCCGAATTCCTAAACTCGACACCCCAAACCTACACAACAACCCCTAAACTCAAACCCTACCTTAAGCCGGAATAACCTACCTTTTTAGAGTTCCGTATTATGATTTCCTTATATAAGTCCTTAAAAAGGTAGGGTATTCCGGCTCAAGGTAATCCCAATCATGCTAGTCGAAACCGAAACAAACAGGAAACCATGGTTGGAGCACCTTGGGGTGTCCATTGATTGAACAGTTCGCAGTTGCAGATCGTATCGCTTTTCTATCTACTAACAGCAATACAAAGTAAATGAGCTAATCTCTCTCTCTCTCTCTCGTCGCTCTCGGGTTCTCTCTCCCTCTCTCTCTCTCCTTCTCTCTCTCCTTCTCTCTCTCCTTCTCTCTCTCTCTCTCTCTCTCTCTCTCTCTCTCTTCTCTCTCTCTCTCTCTCTCTCTCTCTCTCTCTCTCTCTCTCTCTCTCTCTCTCTCTCTCTCTCTCTCTCTCCCTACATGCACCTGGTCCCAAGGGCGACACAAACCACAACCGAAACAAAACCACATCATGTCAGGATCGCCTTAGCACCGACAGCCCCAAGCCTCTGTACCAAAACGGCCCCAAACCAAACTTAAAACCCAAACCCTAGGCAGCGCAACATCAAAGACTAAACCCCTGAATTGCAATCCCCATACTCGAAAGTGAAAACAAAAATAGCTTCGGTGCCCAAGGGGCTTGACCACAAAGCGCACCCTGAGTTCGGGGCGTTCAGTCACACGTCTGCTAAACTTTTCGGGCTTAGGATTTATGGTTTAGGGCATGAAAGAAATAAGGATAGCTCAAACCCCCAACGCCTGGGCCGGAGCAATCATCAGGTCTCTAGGGACATTTGGTAGGGATTCTTGATTTCGCCTGCAGTACAAGATTGCTGCTTAATCTGGTTTTTGAGCTTGATGATGAGTTGGCAGGGGTTCTCAATACGATGGGTATTTCATATCGGTGCCCTTTCGGTCCGGATCATACTGTTGTATTCTTTGCGGTCGTCTGTATTCCAGTCCCGTATGTCCAGAAACTGTCTGGGACTGCCGCGGTCTAAGCCTGTACTTTTGATCCGGAGCATCTGAGCAGGTCTACTTGGTCTACTTGGAGGTTCATGGGTAGTTGTAAGTGGGGCTATCAGTCGGATAACTATAGTACTAGCCCATACTAGGAGACTTATACGCCTACTTGTAACTACTCATGAACCTCCAAATAGGCGAGATTCGGGCTATGTCGGAAATCATCCACATGCCCGAAGAGCCCAAACTCCACGTATACCTTTGCATATATGTATATGCATATAAGTAAATATACATACACATGCACATGCGCACATAGGTTTGCACAAAATATTTACACACATACGATATATATATATATATATATATATGTATATATAGATACAGATTCATTCCCTATACACTTTTACATGTGTGGGTATGTGCATCCATGTATGTGTGACTGCATATGCATGTATGTATGCACGCATGTATGTGGTAAGACAAACAAGTGTGTGTACAGATAGATCGGTAGATAGGTAGATAGCTAACAGATCGAACGTTGAATCGAGATATGGATAGATGGAGAGATCGAAGGATCGATAGGGGCTAGATAAATGCCTAATGAATCGTGTTGTCAGAGGCTACGACGCCAATGCTCCTAAGTTTCTAGGTCACATCATCTCACCATGATGCGTAAGTCTAAAACCACAAAGATACCAGCAAGACCCGCAGCAGCAAGTAAAACTCCAAGGGTAAAAGGAGGGACCCTTAATAAGGACCCCTAGGTATATACCCTTAATATAGCTATTATATAACCATTACATAGCCCATTATAGGGTAGGGGTCCCCATTAAGGGTCCCTCCTTTTCCCCTTTGAAAAACTAGCAACCGCTCCGCCCAAGCACCAGAGACCCCTAACTCTCAAAGACAGGAGCCCTCGTGTCGCAACCCAAGAACAGGAGCTGTAAACTCGAAGCCCAACATTCTGTTTAGGGAGCCACGGCACACTAAGCCGTCAAGCTTTTAAGACCGCGGCGGTAGAGGCAACCGTAGCATGGCGACTAAGCTTGCGATTACATCCCTAAACCTGACCCAAAAAGCTCAAATCCAAATCCCCCGCTTCAAACCCAGGCGCTCGTCCATGTTGGAGAAGCTAAACTTCTTCTTGACTCTCCTGCGGGCCCGTCGTCTCGCAATGACCTCCTGTCAGGGGACAAAGGGGCTTTGCATTAAAGGGATTCAGGGCTATACAATTGCTTTCGGCTTTCGGTTAGCAGGGGTCTAGCTTGGTCGAGCGTGTGGCGTTCGAACCCGCGCAAGCTACGCGGGTTGTTCTGGGTTGGCTGTCCCTTTGCGGGGTCCTTCGTTTTCAGAGGGAGGAATATAGCTGGAATCATCGTAACAAGCTGAACATGAATCAAGGTATACTCGATGATGCAGACATGCTGAGCCCTGCACGAAACATTACAGGACTTCACAAACTCTACAATAATTAAGCATGATCCAAGCTAGCCGTTATGTAAACAAAACCCAATCCTTACGAAGAAACCTTGATGCCTGGCGCACTTGGTGTGCTGGGAAAGGTCTGGGTGGCTTGTGGATGGGTCTCGAACCTTGCCATGCCATCCGGTTCAGATTTCGGGCATCGAAGGGCGGCTTAGTTTCGGACAAGTCTTGGAGGTAACAGCGCGTAGGGTTCAAGGAGAGGCTGCTAAACTGCAAGACCTGAAGAAGGACTGCAACAGTAGCTTGTCGGGTTGCAGAACTGGTATTACCTGTTTAAAGAACCCTTCGGTTGTTCTGTACGTCGACTAAAGAAGGCTCCCACATTTCAGCCCTAAAACCCTAAACCCGACCCCCCAAACCCCAAACCCTACACCCCTAAAACCCTACACCCTAAACCCCCAAACCCTAAACCCCTAAAAACCCCTAAAAACCCCTAAACCCCCAAACTCTAAACCCTAAACCCCTAAACCATACACCCTAAACCCCCAAACCCTAAACCCCTAAAGCCCCTAAAACCCCTAAACCCCCGAGCCCAGGACAGGTCCCGAGTGGTTCTCTTGAGCGACTGGCTGAAGGTGGTGAGATGCGAGAGGATCTCCAACTGTTTCGACTCCACCTGGGACAGGCTACAGGGTTCCTTAAAAGGGATCTATAAGGGTTCCTGAAAAGGGATCTATAAGGGTGCCTTAAATGTGTCTATAAGGGTTACTATAAGGGATCACCAACTGTTTCGACTCCACCTGGCACAGGCGAATATAGGGTTTGCAGGTATACTAAAAAAACTGAAGGTGTCTATAAGGGTTACTATGAGGGATCTATAAGGGTTCTATAATATAGGGGCCTTCGAAATTAGAATGGGGTTTTGGGGGGGTATATTATACTATGATAGGCTAATATAGGGTTTGCAGGTATACTATACTTTTACTTTGATTATCATAAGGAGCCCCCCAAAATGGGGGCCTTCGAAATTAGAGTAGGGTTTTGGGGTACATTATACTATGGTGATAATAAGGAGCCCCCCAAAATAGTAAAGGTACTTATAAGGCCGCTCTATTGCCTACGGCCTGCAGTCTCCATCGTCGCTCACGCGTTGGATCCTATAACGTGCACTTTTAGTTAACCAGCAAGAAAAGCGAAGGAACTACAATGTAGACTACAGGTAGTGCTTAGTGCCTTTAGGGCTCTGAGGGTGCGAGAGTTCTTAGCTTTACGTGCTCTTGCTTGATTATTGACCTTTAAACTCGAGATACTACTGTTTCTGGATGTTTCTGGATACATGCAAAATCGTCCCGTCTTTCTCATAATTTCACCTAGGACAGACACTCTGCAGAGAGATGATAACCAATGGGTGAATGCCCTGCCAAAGCGCTGACTAACTTTTCAAATATCTGCAAAACAGAACCCTCTGGGAAGGTAGTTAATACGGGTCAATTATGCATCGGGGGTCTCAGCCGTAAGTCGTGAAGCGAGGCTTTGTAGCGGTCAGCCGGGTTGACAGGTTTCACGCTTCCGTCTAGATTACTTGTGGGCAAGGCGCCGCAACACACAAACGGCACGGAGCCTTGCCGAACCGTTACCTCCCCTCGCTCGACCAGATGGCATGTCATACTGAATGGCACACGTCGTTCGCTTTCTTTCGTGAGCTGCCCCATACATGCCGAACTTCATTCGGTTTGGAGAATGCCAACTTGCTGTCGGAGTTTCTGTTGCCCACGTCTTCGTAACATCGAAACTGGAACGATGACACGTGAACTCTACATCTCTACATGCAAGAACACTAAGCCCCTAAATCAAAGCCCCTTCATAAACGGCAAACCCTAAGCCGCCATCATCCTTCATTCTTTTTCGCATGCGGTTTGCCTTTCCATGCACGAACATGGTAACGGGCCCTCTTCGAGGACGCCGTGGGGACAAGTGAGACACGTTCAGCTCTGTGGATGGACTTAATCTTGAAGGCTGTTTTTTTGAACACCTTTTGCAACTGAAGGCTGGGGTTTAGGGTTCATGGTTTCTTGAGTCTTTAGTTGCTATGATCGTGATTGCAGTTTTGTTTACATGAAGGTATGCTCGGATGTCGTCTCGGTCGCAGAGCTGTCTTCGAAAACCTAGTGCTACTACTCCTTCTAAACCAACAACCTTTAGCCCAAAAACCTTTAAAGCCCTATACCTTCATCAACCCTCTTCCTCTTCTTCATCTTGGCCCTGCCCAAGCGCCTTGAGCGCCTCTTCCTGAATTGCCTGGAGGACACGACGGCTTCGAAGCTTGTGTGGGGCCCAGGATTAGAGAGTTCGGGGTTTAGGGCTTGGGGGTGGGACTGCTGATGATATAAATCTTGCATTACCTCAAAGACCCTAAACTATGGGAATTATGGTATATTCCTTACCCTAAGACTCCAAATAGCCCAAAGTAGGTAGTATTTACAGACTTTAGACCCCAAAGTAGGTACTATTTGTATACTTGGAGTCTTAGGGTCATTATGGGTCATGCAGGATTTGCATCATCAACCGGAGAACCGAGCCACCGAACCCAACGTCTCCAAGAGACCGGGTTTCGGCTGAAAACCCTCCCGAGGCCCTACAGACCCCATCAAGGACCGTTAGGAGTCGCTGGGTTTTTTTTTCAGCTTCAAGGACAATAATTCCTATTAATTCCCCATGGTTTTGAGCCACAGAGCCCAAAAACGAGAAGATTGGTTCATGCCCCCTACATCTGAAACGGCCATCCTCAGGGGATGAGTACCTACCCTAGCGCAAGAAAAGGTTAACCGTTTCAGATATGGCAGGACTATATCTACCCCGAATGGTTAAAGGTTACCTACTCAGCTACTAAGTCTTTGTACCCGGACCTAAACCACCACCAGCCCGACACCCTACTACTAAGCTTCTCCCCTATACCCTAAACCCTAAACCCCCCCACCTTCAGCTTGGCCTTCTTCCGATCTGCTTCGCGCTGCTTGTCCTGCAGGGACGAGCCACCGGCTCCCAAACCCAAACCGGAAACAGCTGTGGCGTCTGATCTTCTTACCCTGATTCTACTCAAGGCTATACTTTATGATATATGCATAACAAACAATATAATAGCCTCTGAAATATTGCTTATTACGACATGTCATAAACTGTATGTTGTTGCAAAGGATGTAAGGATGTATTACATATTATTGGCCCTAATGTGACCTCCTGGAGTCCGCACACAGCGAAACGAGCTTACGCAAGGACCGTCGAACTTCGAGCATGTAGAACGTCTGGATGTAGCTTGTGCTGCGGCTTAAGTAATCCTCCTATCTGTTTCAGCTTTGTGGCTTCTACAGGGTGTGCAGAATATAGGGTTTATAGGGGGTGGGGTTGAAGGGTTCAAGCTGTTGAACTTAAAGGATCATGGGACTTAGTAACTAGGGCTATTAGAAGGGTAACTATACTTATAACCCCAATTAGGTTACTATAACCCTACTTACTAAGTCCCATGATCCTCCAAGAACGCAAAGGCAGCCTGCCACTGTGCGAGGCACACTTCAGGAGGAGGGCCGGAGCCGGGCTATGTCTACCCAAATGCCCCAAAGTAGTTCCTTTTCGGGATTCGTATATAGAATCCTATTAGGTAATCCCTAAAATAAGAACTACTTTGGGGCGTATGGGTATGCATGACTTCGGATGAAGAAGAACAGAAGCTGGGAAGCGCTGCGGGCGTTAATGTAGGGACCTTATATGCCTTATATAATGAAGACATCAGTTTTGGCACACACTTTTTTTTGTATACATGTGTATGTATGTATGCATGTGTATATATATATATATATATATATATATATATCAGTTCAGTGAGTTTGGTGGGAGTGTAGCGGAGACTCCTGCCTGCATCAAACACGGTGAGCTGTCGTAACTTCCGGGATTCCAAGAGAAAAGGAATGCGGGTGCGTCTTTGCGGGGTCACTTCGGTTGGCCTAAACACTATAAACTCCAGACCCAACCACAATTAATCGTGAACCCTGAGCCTAAGCCTTAAACTCCCAAGCCCTAAGCCCAATACTGCCTATGCTCAGGTCAGGCTCTGTTATTCTGTAAACCTTCCCATGTTGAGTCCTGTTTGTGCACCTTGTCCATGTAGTCGTTCAGCCTGGGTATGTTAAGGAGCTTTAGGGTTTGAGGCTTAAGAGCTACAGAGGGATTTAAACCAACTTTCCTCATATTAGCCCTCAGCAGAAGGTAACAGCCCACTGGAGTGTGCAGCTGTGCACCATGGTATGTGCATGATGACATCCGGAGAGTAGCAGAACTATGCTGGTTACAAGAGTCACGGAACAACACAAACAAGATGCCGGGATCTCACATTCACTACCCTCTTCAAGCAAGCCGTAAAGCTTGGATACCTCCTTATAACCTTTTGTTCTGGTCGGCTTTGGTTCCTGAGCAACTGGAAGAAAACATCCTCTCACTAGGCTCCAGGCCGATGGTACATCTCGTGGAAGAGACCCACCATACCTAAGTCAATCTTGAGCGTTACCAGAGCAACTGTCTGCTTCATCCATACTCTTAAGCTAGACCCAAGAGTAGCCTAGGAATAAAAAGGGTGCCCTTTTTGGTTTAAAGGGGCTTATAAGGGAACCTGAACCCTAAAAAAGGGAATAAGGTCCTACTCTAGGTCCTGGTAAGTCAAGTTGACCGGACTACTGCCAAACTCTTTGTTCAACATGTTGCTATGCACGTGCGTTTACGGGCTAGCACACTTTGTGGCAATGCTTGATGACTGCTAAGCCCCAAACCGCAACTCTGATGTGTAAAAACTTGAGCAGACTCGGCACGCCCGGTGTCGTCGGCAATTCGTGCGCACTCGCCCTCGAGGAAGCTGATCGAACTCGCAGGGGGAGCCATCACGGGACATGTGGCACCCAAAACCCAGACCCAAGGACCTGAACCCTCTCTAAACTCGGGAAGGGCCCCCAAAACTCTCTGAGAACCTGTTCAAGGCTCATGCGACTGCATAGTACGGTACTGTAGATTGGACAAACATGACCCGCACGATGGAAGCCCGGAAGCCCCATCAACCGTACAGCACGAAGCACAGAACCCGAAACTGCAGCAGCCTGGCTGACGAGCCCGGACTTTCCCTAAACTAAACCATACGCCACACAGTACGCCCTAAACCGCATGCCCTGAAACCTTAAAGCCGAAACGAAGCCCTGAAGCTCGCAAGGTCCAGTCCTGTGGAACTGGTTCGCTTGTGCCAGCAGCTCTCCAGCACTGCGCGTGGCGTGTCGGAGCCTCTTCACCGTATCAGCCAGGTCCTCTGCAGGGTTTAGGGTTTATAGGGTTTAGGGGTTTAGGGTTTAGGGTTTAGGGGTTTAGGGTTTAGGGGTTTAGGGTTTAGGGGTTTAGGGGTTTAGGGTTTAGGGGTTTAGGGGTTTAGGGTTTAGGGGTTTAGGGTTTAGGGTTCCGACGGCACAGCCCTAACTTAGGAGGCCTTCATAAGAATAGGGCTTTCGGGGGAAAATTACAGTGGAATTATAGAAAGGAACCCTACTGTAAGGAAAAACTTCACAATCATTGAAGCGCCGCGGAAATAGTTATGTATGTATGTATGCATGTATGTAAATGTATGTAGGTATGTATGCATGTATCTTC